GTTGTTCTTCCCTGCTGGAGCCTGTTACGCTGCTCCTTTGGGTTGCGGGGACTCTGTTTTTTGCTTCGCGTCTCACACTTTCCTTCGTGGTGCTCCCTTTCCTCGTTGACCTCTGCCTGGGCCCTGGCTCTTCGGCGTTTGGCCTTGTTGATCCTTCAGGGGTCCCCTGGAGGTGTGGGGGGGGGGGTGGGGTGGGGTTCCTCCCGGACAGGGCGTGTCTGCTCGCTCAGGTTGGTTCATTTAGGCTCGCTGGGGTTTGGTTCCTGGTTCCCTGGTGGCCATTCCTTCTGGTTTTTGCCTTCCTTGGCGGACCCTGCTGCTTTCTTTGGTTTCGACCCTGTGGGTTTTCCTGTGGCTCCACCTCTTTCTGCGGGTCGGTCCCATCCTGTACAGGGCTGGTTCGTTCCTTCCCTCGAGTCTTCACGTCTTCGGTTTTTGGGTCTCCTTTCTCGTCGCTGGTATGGGCGCTGGTGGCTTCATTGTTAGTCTCCCACCTGCATCCTTCGTCTTGGCGGCGGTGTGTGTAGTTTTCCTGCTGGTCCTTCTGGTTTTCCTAACACTGCGAAGGGCCCTTTGGTCTCTGATTAGGGTTGTCTTGTCTTTCCCTTCGGGGTTGTTCCAGGACTGTCTTGTGGTGCCGTGTACTGTCGCCTCGTCTTGGGTGGCGCTGGCGGAGCTGCTCTCGCTTGCGTTTGGTGTTGCTGTTCCTTCTGCTCCATTCCGCTTGATGTCTTGGGCGTTGTTTCACCTCCGACCTGCCCTTGCATTTCCGGTGCCGTCCTGGTCATTGGCCCAGGTGGTCTGTTCTCTTCTTCTCCTTGGTTTGGTCCTTGGGTTGCTGCTTGGTTGGTCAGGCCACGTTGCTTCCTAGTAGTTCGGTTGCGGCTCTTCGCTGTTCTCGGTGCATAGTGGCCTCTGGGGTCATGGACGCGTTTTAGTTTGCCCGGGTTCCCTTCCTTCCCTCATTCCTGTTCTGGGGTTTGGGTCTCCCGGGTTGTCTGCAGGGTCTTTTTGTTTCGTCTGTGGTCTTGTTTTTAGGTTAGGGCGCGTGGCATCTGCCTCCTGGATTCTTCCCTCTTTTACTTATCTGTGGTGAGGTAGCTCTGAAGAGCCGATGGGGCTCCCTCCAGAAAACCAGTGTTGAATGTAATAAAATGCTATTTTCTGGGTGAGTCCCGGAGGCTTAGGGACGAAATTAAGGCTTTTTGACTTATATAAAGTATACCCTAAATATATCCCCCTAAATCATTATAATTATTATAATTATCCTTATACAGTGGCACCTCGACTTACGATTGCCCCGACTTACGATAGTTTCGAGTTACGACGTAAATTTCATAAAAAAATGCTCCCTGGCATCCCTCCCTTCCTCCGGTCGGCAGTGTTTTTCGCGTATTTTGACATCCAGCCTAAGAACTGCCAGTTGGATCGCCGGTGCGGATGGTCTGGGGCTCCCACTTCCCCCTCCTGGGAAGGGAGGGGGGTTGCGCAGAAGGCGACGTGTTGACGTCATGCTAGTTTGATAATTTTGTTTGGGGAGTTCTGTCCACTCGTTCGATTTTCGGTAGCAATATTTTAACCAGAATAGGGGTTTGTTTTGGGGCGCCTACCTTTCTTGGTGCCTGTCCCAGTCGATGGCAGACATAGAATGCTCCCAACTACAAGGGGGGTTTCTATAGGCCATTGCTCCTCGTGCCTCTCTGAGGGGGCCAGGTTCTGGTTCATAAATATGAAGATGGTGTGCGGGTTGTTGAACTGGCTAGGCAGTACAACAAATCTCAGTCAACGATATCCACCATACTGGTTAAGAAAAAGGACATTATGGGTGCTAAAGTGATGCATCATTACAGACAAATGTTAAAACGAAGGGAAAAACAAATGTCTCTTGACAAATTTGTAGTGAGACAAACAAGCAATGAACCACAACCAGGTCCTAGTGGTATTCAGGCAAAACATAGGAGAGAAGAGTACCCCAGAGAAAACATTACTGCCTGATGTGATAATGGAAGGGGACTCCCCTTCCAAACAGTAACAACTCTCCTCCTCTCCCCCATCACCATCTTCCATATGCCATCAAGAGCCCTCCATAAAGGTAAGATAAACTTAGGTACTGTATTGTAGTTAGAAAAAAACATTGTATTCAGTATAAAATGCATTTGTATGTTAATATTTTGGAGGGTGGGGAACGGATTAATTCAAATCCCTTTATTTCTTATGGGAAAAATCGCTTCGACTTGCAATCCGTCTCTGGGAATGGATTAGCATCGTAAGTTGAGACTCCATTGTATGTTTTTTTTGGGGGTGGGGGGGATGGGGGGGCTCTGTCACATTTCCCTCCCCCTCTGTCACATTTCCCTTTTATGTTTGGGAGTTCTTGCATCCGGGGGCCTTGCATCGGCTGCTGTGTCGCTGGCTTCCTCTTAAGGTTTTTCAGGGTTCAGTGCCTTGGCCTCTACCCGAGCCCTCAATCGGTGTGTTTTCGCGGACGCCGTCGTGTCTCGGCTGTGGTTTTGTGACCAGTGCTCAAGAGGCCGGCCAGGGGCGGTGGAGTCTGTCCTTCCATTGGGCTCACAGCACGGTGCGGGAGTTTGTGGCGGTGTGGTTGGCGCTCCGGAGGGTTTGGGTCACCCGTGGATCAACGTTTCGGCTACATTCGGATTGCTCCACGGAGGTTCATTGTCTGAATCGAGGGGGTTTGATGGGGGTTTGTTTGGGGCTGGTCGCTTCGGGTGACTCGTCTTCCGAGTTCTCGGGGTTTGACTCTCCTAACGGTTCATGGCCGGGGGGTGTGCTGCGTCCTGGAGGACGGCCTGTCCCGTTTCGTTTCCCTGTCCACGGAATGGACAGTTGATGCCGACTTATTCAGTTGGCTCTGTCAGACGATCGGGCGCCTGGAGGTGGACCTCTCTGTGTCAGTGTGGTCGAGGCATCTTTCGGTATATGTGGCGCCCTTCCCCGACTGTGAGGCCGTCGGGATTAACGCCTTCCAGCAGGACGGGTCGAGGTGGGGGGGGGGGGGTTCCTGTACTTCTTCCCCCGGTTCAGCTGTTGCTCCAGGTTCTAGCTCGCTTGGAGACTTGCCAACGGAGAGTAGTCCTCTTGGTCTTATGGTGGCCGGCCCAGCCGTGGTTTCTGTCGCTGCTTCCCCAGTGCCCGAACCTGGAGGTTTTTATGAGGCTCCGCCTCTTTTCAACAGATCAATCTGGTACGTTACAAGACTGGTTCGCTCTTCTCCTCGAGTCTTCATGTTTAGTATTTTTTATTGAATCTATCACCATCTGTATGGTGATCAGCAGGCTTTTTTGATGATGTCCCACTTGGGGGCTTTGTCTCAGCAGCAGTGTGAAATTTCCTAGCCGTCCTTTTGTTTCTTTCTCTGGCATCGCAGGTATTCCTCGCTTTCGATTCGGGATGTTTTGTCCTTTCTCTCGTGGTTGTTTCAGGACCATCATCTTGTGCCAAATACTGTCGCCTCGTATCGTGCGTCGCTGGCGGAGCCGGTACAGCTTGCTTTCGGTATCGATGTCACTTCCGCTCCGTTTTGCAAGCTGTCTCGTGTGTTGTTTCACCTCCAGCGGGCTCATGCGCCACTTAAGCTGTCCTGGTCTTTGGATTGAGTGCTTTCTTTTTTCTCTTCAACTCGGTTTGTTGTGGCCCTTTCGGTTCAGGATTGTTTTGCTCAAGGCTCTTTTCTGTTCCCACAGAACTCTGTGGCTGATGTTGTTAGTAGTTGGAAGCCTTCTCAGTGAGAGAGTTTCAGAGAGCCACTTGACTTTTACAGCCACATGCTGTAAATCTACAGCATGTGGCTGTAGGGAGCTGTAGGGAGTAGGGAGCATGTGGCTGTAGGGAGACCAATCAAATATTGCATCAGCCGAAAAAATGATAGGATGGATTATGAGTACTTTCAAATCCAGGAATCCTATCACAATGGTTGTACTATTCAAATCACTTGTGCTGTCCCGGTTTCAGTATTGCTCAGTACTGACTTCCCCCTTCAGAGCTGGAGAGATTGCTGAAACAGGGAATACAGAGAACTTATACGGCATACATAGACGTGATAAAGCACATAAATTATTGGGATCATCTCAAAGCTCTTCAAATGAACTCGCTAGAAAGGAGACAAGGATCTCAAATAATATATACGTGGAAAATACTGGAGGGCCAAGTTCCAAATCTGCACAGTAAAATAAACACGTACTGGAGTGAACGATATGGAAGAAAGTGCAGAATAGAACCAGTGAAGAGCAGGGGATACCGAAGGCACAATCATAGAACACTGTATAAGCATCAGAGGTCCACGATTGTTCAACACCCTCCCAGCGAGCATAAGAAATATTGCCGAAACAATCATGGACATCTTCTATTCAACTGAATAGTTTTCTTCAAGGAGTGCCAGACCAACCAGGCTGTAGTGGATATGTGGGCCGCTCCAAGCAACAGCCTGGTTATCTTGAGGTTATCTTGAGATGATTTCGGGGCTTTTTTTAGTGTCCCCGTGGCCCGGTCCTCGACCAGGCCTCCACCCCCAGGAAGCAGCCCGTGACAGCTGACTAACACCCATGTACCTATTTTACTGCTAGGTAACAGGGGCATAGGGTGAAAGAAACTCTGCCTATTGTTTCTCGCCGGCGCCTGGGATCGAACCCAGGACCACAGGATCACAAGTCCAGCGTGCTGTCCGCTCGGCCGACCGGCTCCCGTCCTTTTACTTTGGTCCTGGTGGACCAAACTCTCACAAGTCAAGCCTGGCTTTGGACCGGGCTTGGGAAGTAGAAATACTCCCAGAACCCCATCAAGCAGGGGCTCATCCAGAAAGAAGAGTTTCATTACATTCAGCATTGTTTGTTTTTTTATTTTTTAACATGCCTACCAAGAGCCTGAATTTATTTGTAATATTAAAAGGAATAAACAGAAATGAGTATGGCATTTTGGAATTCTTTGGAATTTTAGTACAGAATGAAATTAAAGTTTGATTATATTATTAATTTTGTTTACAGATGAGTAATTTGAGAAAGATCAAGCAGAGTGACAGTGATGATGACAGTGAATTGGAGGATGATGAGGATGAAGGCAGAGGTGGTGAACCTATTCTTTCTTCAGCATCCATCAATCATAATGGTTGTGTCAACAGAATACGGGTTAGTAAACTGGGTCAGTTCACGATAAAACAAATATTTTGCTAGTGAAGTGCGAATGATATATTCACCTTCAGTCTTGTTAAAAAATAAAGCAAGTCTTAGCCAGTCTTTGAAAAAAAAAAAAGCATGTCCCGTGGACTTGGCTTTTCTGTCACGGGCGGTGGTTGCCGACACAGGCTCTGCCCCGGGGCCCTTGTCTGCAGCTACTGGGGTATGGTAGAAATTGGGTGTGGGCCCATGTGTCCTGTTCGGCTCTGTGGTTCCTTGTTGGCAGGGGGTGGGTGTTTTTGTGTGTGTGCTTCTGCCTTGTGTGTGGCTGCCCTTAATGCTTCGGTTCCGTGTGCCTTTGTGTCAGGATTATCCTTCTAGAGGTTCCTGCCTCAGATCTCTCCTCTGGTAGCTCTTAAGGCGCTTTTTCTGTTCCTCCTCTGTGACTGGCTTATGCCTCGTTGGACGATACTTGTTTTACATTTGGGTCTTTTTCTCCCTTAGTGGTACAGTATTTCGAGGTCTGGTGTCTTCTTGGTTGGCAGACATTAGTTTCTTGTCGCTTTGGTCTTGCATGGTCTTTGTTGGTCTTGCACGCTTTAGTGGATGGGATATTGTCCTCTTTTCGGATGTTCTAGGGAGGCTGTTTTCATGCCTTCTTTGGCTGCCTGTTTACCCCGTTCTTCAGGTCGTGGGTCTTGTTCGACTCTGTGATACAGAGCACCACTTGGTTTCCGAACTTTAGTTATCCGAAACTTCCAGTTTCCCGATTGGGGTTGGGGAGTCATGCTACCTGAACAAAGTTCGGGTAGGAAGGGGTCCGCCAAGCGTCACGCCGGTTTGTTGTGGTGGGTGGGAGATGGTCCAGTTTGCCCGCTGTGACTTCACAGATTCACGGCCTATTATTCCTATTATTTTGAATTGCCATAAGGCTGGAATGTTCATTCTGTGCTTTTGTTTTACATATCTGCACAATCAAGAAACATCTGTGCACCATGTTGGCTCCAAATGCACGCATTGCATCAGTGATGGCTGACTGGTGGGTGGATGGACGATGAAGTTTAGGTGGGAGGCAGTATGAATGGGGGGGGGGAGAATCAGTGAGAGAGGGGGAGAGAGAGATGCTAGGAGGGAGGGGGAGGTAGGGAGAGATGCTAGGAGGTAGGCAGGAAGGGATGGAAGTAGTGAGAATTAGGGAGGGAAAGGCAGGCTGGCAGGCACAGGCAGGCAGGCACAGGCAGGCAGGCAGGCGCAGCAGGGAGTGAGTGGTAGTCACGCGGTTGAACCGCGTGACCTTGAGAGATGGGATGTAGGGGGGCGGGTGGTTTGTTGGTGGTGGGGGCGAGACCGGCTCATTCCCGAAGATAAGCCTAACACACACTACCCGTTAGCATGATGGCAGGGAGGGAGGCAGGCTGGCTGGAAAGGAAGCAGGCTGGCAGGCTGGGAAGGAGGCAGGCAGGCTGGGAAGGAGGCAGGCAGGCAGGCTTGCAGGCTGGGAAGGAGGCAGGCAGGCAGGCTTGCAGGCTGGGAAGGAGGCAGGCAGGCAGGCAGGCTGGGAAGGAGGCAGGCTTGCAGGCTGGGAAGGAGGCAGGCAGGCAGGCAGGCTTGCAGGCTGGGAAGGAGGCAGGCAGGCAGGCTTGCAGGCTGGGAAGGAGGCAGGCAGGCAGGCTTGCAGGCTGGGAAGGAGGCAGGCAGGCTTGCAGGCTGGGAAAGAGGCAGGCAGGCAGGCAGGCTTGCAGGCTGGGAAGGAGGCAGGCAGGCAGGCAGGCTTGCAGGCTGGGAAGGAGGCAGGCAGGCAGGCAGGCTGGGAAGGAGGCAGGCAGGCAGGCAGGCTTGCAGGCTGGGAAGGAGGCAGGCAGGCAGGCAGGCTTGCAGGCTGGGAAGGAGGCAGGCAGGCAGGCAGGCTTGCAGGCTGGGAAGGAGGCAGGCAGGCAGGCAGGCTTGCAGGCTTGCAGGCTGGGAAGGAGGCAGGCAGGCTTGCAGGCTGGGAAGGAGGCAGGCAGGCTTGCAGGCTGGGAAGGAGGCAGGCAGGCTTGCAGGCTGGGAGGCTGGCAGGCAGGCTTGCAGGCTGGGAAGGAGGCAGGCAGGCTTGCAGGCTGGGAAGGAGGCAGGCAGGCTTGCAGGCTGGGAAGGAGGCAGGCAGGCTTGCAGGCTGGGAAGGAGGCAGGCAGGCTTGCAGGCTGGGAAGGAGGCAGGCAGGCAGGCAGGCTTGCAGGCTGGGAAGGAGGCAGGCAGGCAGGCAGGCTTGCAGGCTGGGAAGGAGGCAGGCAGGCAGGCAGGCAGGCAGGCTTGCAGGCTGGGAAGGAGGCAGGCAGGCAGGCAGGCTTGCAGGCTGGGAAGGAGGCAGGCAGGCTTGCAGGCAGGCAGGCAGGCTTGCAGGCTGGGAAGGAGGCAGGCAGGCTTGCAGGCAGGCAGGCAGGCTTGCAGGCTGGGAAGGAGGCAGGCAGGCAGGCAGGCTTGCAGGCTGGGAAGGAGGCAGGCAGGCAGGCAGGCTTGCAGGCTGGGAAGGAGGCAGGCAGGCAGGAAGCGATATATGGGTGTTGAAGTGAACCATGAACCACGTGACCTTTGAGTGTGTGTGTGTATGGGTTTGGGGTGGGGGGAGAGGGGGAGGTGTATCGGTGGTGGGGGAGGGACCGGCTGACTCCGTAAGCCTAACCACACTCCACAGACCTGTGACCCAGATTTGTTTCTTAAATGTACAGTACATCATCGTATATTTTAGGCAGGATGTGCCTGCAGGCTGGCAGGAAACATCCAGAGGATGTTTGCCAGACGTCTTAATAATCAGTTAGGAACAATTAAGGACTTTTATAAAGCGGATCAGGACTTCACTTATTGGTGAGTACAAACAAAACACAGTCGCATTTACGCTATGAACCTGTCGATTTTTTCCCCTAGAGTTTTTTCGTAAATTTTTTCGGAAAAATTTCTTTTTACATTTCTAGTTTATTTTTTCCCCTCTATTTCTCGTATACGAACTTACATGTTAACCGACGGGTCTCGTCCCCAAGGGGTTCGGAAACCAAGTGGTGCTCTGTAGTACCAATTTTCCCTGCTCAAGCCTTAGCCCCAGATTGGGTGCCAGATGTGCAGATTTATTAGGAGGTGAGAGCAAATGCCGAGGTCCAACTATTTGGTTTTCCTGTCACTAGGTCGTTAGCTCCTCAATTGAATAATCAATCTAGAGGGGTAGCAAATGGGTCCTCACACCAAAAATTCTGTATTTAGTATTTGAAGCTGTGGGCTTGATCCCAGAGCTTAAACCAGTTAAATTCTAGAATTCAGAAGTAGCTGTAGCACAGCAAAATAATGGATCAGTACTCATTAAAGGTTGTTGACAAAAAGACACTTTTGACACAATTTATTCAACAAACTTACTTATTAATACACGGTAATAACAATGTTACATAATGTTACTTCCAATGTGTCACTCCAACAGGTAAACAGTACCAGGTACAGCAGGACACGGTTCCACCACTCTGGCTGGCAATCACTAAACCTAGTCTCTAGCCCTCTTGCATGGGCAATAGGAACAAAGTGAACTAACTGAACACCGGTGAACACTTGGACTCGACTGCACTCAACCCTTGCAGTGGCAATCGTCAATGATGGAAATACAACAATAAAAATAACAACTTCTTGCAAAGAGATACTTGTCACTTGGCCAATCTTCAATCAAGCAATTACATTAACACTTGTCACTAAGGACTGCAACAAATAAGTTAATTATTACGTAAACACTTGTCACTAAGGACTGCAACAAATAAGTTAATTATTACGTAAACACTTGTCACTAAGGACTGCAACAAATAAGTTAATTATTACGTAAACACTTGTCACTAAGGACTGCAACAAATCAATGAACAATTTAATTATTACTTTACATTAAACCCACTGTCAGACAGGCAGTTAAACCAAGATGAATAATTGTTTATAATTATATTATAATTACTTAATTATAATTACTCACTCACTGTATATCACAGGTGTCTCCTAGACCACAAAATGCATTCAAAAGAAATTACTGGAAAAATAGGTAGATGGATCTACAATTTCCTGACTAACAGAACCCAATGTGTAATAGTCAACAAAAGAAAATCCGGACCATCAACCGTGAAGAGCTCAGTCCCTCAGGGTACTGTGCTTGCTCTAGTACTTTTTCTCATCCTCCCATATTGGACATAGACAAGGACACAATCTATAGTACTGTATCATCTTTTGCAGATGACATTAGGATTTTTATGAGAGTAGACAACATAGAGGACATGGCAAACCTCCAATCAGATGTAAATCGAGTCTTTCTATGGGCTACAGAAAATAATATGGTGTTTAATGATAAGATCCAGCTCCTGCGCTACGGAAAAAACGGAAACCACGTACAAAACGCAGTTAAACCATAACATAGAATGAAAAGGCAATGTAAAGGATTTGGGTGTACTCATATCGGAAGACCTTAGCTCTAAAAAACACAATAAAGTAGCCGTCACATCTGCAAGAAAAATGACAGGTTGGATAACAAGAACCTTTCACACTAGAGATGCTATACCAATAATGATACTTTTCAAGATGCTAGTGCTCTCTAGAGTGGAATACTGTTGCACAATGACAGCCCCTTTCAAAGCTGGAGAAATTGTTGATCAGAGCGTGCAGAGATCCTTTACTGCTAGAATCCACTCAGTAAAATATCTACAACTATTGGGACCAACAAAATGCCTAAATCTGTCTTCTTTGGAGCGCAGGTGGGAGAAATACATAATAATTTACACGTGGAAAATAGTAGAGGGGCTGGTTCCAAACCTACACACAGAAATAACACCACATGAGACAGGTAAGCATGGCAGGATGTGCAGAATACCCCTGTTGAAAAGCAGAGGTGCAACAGGTACTCTGAGAGAGAACTCTATCAACATCAGAGGCCCGAGGCTGTTAAACACGGATCCACCACACATAAGGGGCATAACTGGCCGACCCCCTCACAGTGTTCAAGAGAGAACTTCACAAGCACC